ATTTTTGACCTACCCGACACCACCTACCCAACTCCGTCGATTCATTTCTAATTCGACGAGAGGGTCGAATCTTCGCCGCGGGACTTGTGACGGAGCTGGAGCATGGGCTTGTACTACTATACCGCATCGTGGTATTACCATCGCAAAGGTATATTATTCGACGGGCCGACTACCTTCGAATTTGACCGTCCTGCCTTTTATTCTACAGGACCTTTCCCCAAAGGTCGTCAGCTTTAGCTAGCTTTTAGATAGTTCACTTTTACATTTGCCTAACATTGGATCTACTCCTTTCTTGCTGTGTTCTTCTTGGCCAAGCCGAGAGTATCCGGTCCTGAAGTCCGAACCTCCGGACCTTCGTAACTTTTGTGCGTCTAAACCCCTACGACCGTCACACAAAGAGCGTCCCGGGCACGAGGGTGATGGCCATGGACTGGACCGCCTTGTCCAGCAGCCACACGCAGCCCACGACCAGCGTGAACATGAGCACGATCAGCAGCGCAGGGAAGATGCGGCGCGAGTAAAAGTCGGCGTACGTGAATGAGCCTCTGGCGTTTTCCTTGAAGAGGATGTCCGAGATGAGGTAGCCAGAGATAACGAAGAATACGTCGACGCCTGTGAACCCTACCCGCCTTTGATCCATTGCGGGTACGCGTGGATCAGCACGGGAACCACCGCGAGTGTCCGTAGCCCGTGTCGAGTCTGTACTTGATCGATTGTTTGGGTTCCGGAGGTGTTACTTCTTCGGCTAGGATCCACCGGTGCGCCTGTAAACGCTATTTTACAGTTCTATCAGGGCAATTTACAGTTTTGACAATCCCACAGGGCGACTGTCACTGCTGCCCGAACAGGGCTTATATATATATAGTATATCATCAATCCGAACCTTAACGTGTTACAAAACCAATGTCGTCGAGTAGTTGAATTTATCTAAGTTCATGACCCAACAACTACAGTACAGTTGTAATTAGGCAAATTCCGAGGGTGATCTCAGATATACATTCTTAGTTTTTGTGTGCGTCGCACATGAAAAGCAACACACTTCAACCAATACTGTACATTGTTTTCTTAGTTTTTCCTTGCACATACACAACCCTACATACAGTATTTTCGTATCCATCAACCCTATTCCCACAACAAGCACTTGTTGGACGGGTTCAAGTTCGAGTCGGTGGGGCACTGGAATACACGGGCGAACTCAGCGTCGTTTTGCAACGCCCCTGTCACGCGGATCCGATTGGGCGGGTGCTTCTTCCACGCATTCCCAAGGAGGCGAGCATCTGTGGTCTTGGAGCACCAGGATTGGGCGAACGACAAGTAGAATAACTTGTCCCCTACTTCTTCCGTGTACTGGGACGGAAACTCCTTCAAGTACTCGTGGTATGCGCGGAAACTGGTCTTGAGACCCCCGTTGTCCGCAATGATTTCACCCAAAGAGAACAGGACGGTGTATTTGCCCAACACATCGCCAGTCAAATCGCTCTTGATGACAAATTTGGAGTATTGGTCGCTAATGCACCCGGATTTCGTCTCGAACGCAGTGATGGTTGCGTCGTTCGACCACCACTCGTTGTACTTGCCGTCGCCATCGAATTTACGGCCGTGGTTGTCGAACCCGTGGGTGATTTCGTGTCCGATGAGCGTCCCAATGGCACCAAAGTTCTGGGCGGCGTCAAACTGGCCGTCAAAGAATGGTTTTTGCAAAACGCCGGCCGGAAGCAAAATTCGATTCGTGTCGACGATGTAGAACGCGTTCACCTCATAGGTGAACTGGTCGAACTTGCGCGTGTTCACAGGTTGGCCGTTCAGCTTTAAGTTGGTGTCGATGTTCACTTGAGACACCTTCCACCGGTTGTTCAAATACGACTTCAAGTCCAACGTCAGCGTGGGGTACAGCTGTGGCTTTTCCGGGCCACCCAACAAGTGTACAAGCTTGGACAGCTTCGTTTGCGCATTGGCGCGGGTCGAGTTGTCCAACCAGTCGGAGGTGGCAATGCTAGTGGAGAAGGACGACCTCAAGGCCTTCACCAGATCGTCAGCCGTCTTGGCTGCATCAGCCGACCACACCGCGTCTAAGAAGTACTGGCCCAAGAGATCCCCCAAGATGGAGTGCGTCTCAGTGAAGCAGAACAATTTTTGAGAAGGTTCATCGCTTTCACCATTGATCTTCTTGCCAAACAAGTTCCAGTTGGCCGTGCGGAATTCAGGGTTCAAGTGTTTTGACGAGGCGTGGATGAACTTGTACTCCACGATGGTGCGGAGGTTGTCCAGCGGCGTGTTCTTCAACAACTCTTCGGTGTCGTCTAAGTAGCTCAAGTCCGTAAACCCTACCCAGTCGTTTGAACCACCCGACTGGTCGTAGATGTCGAAGCCATGGGCCTTGAGCCACGAGCCGACAAGCAGCGGGTATTTCTGGTCCAGTTGGCTGAACGTAAATGCAGTATAGCGAGACACAGCGGCCTCCATCTCCTTGAGCTCCCTGAGGGCGACACCGGCCAGATTTTGCTCGAAACGGATGATCACCGGCACGGCAGCCGCCACTTGCTCAGCAGTGTAGCCAGCTAGCTGCAACACCGACGCAATGTACACCTTGTACTCGGCTTCGACGAACTCCCACTCGGAAGGGGTGGTGTAGTACCAGCGATCCAGCGGCAGAGGGGCTCGGATACCGAAGAGGGCGTTCTTGGTCGAGTCGTTCTCGTCAGGTCTGGAGACGATGTCCACGAAGGCAGGGATTCCGTTCTTGGCCAATTCACCAGCCACAATGAGGAGGTCCAACGTGGTGTCGGCCGACCGAATGGCTTTGAACGAGTCCTCCAGCGGAGTCACGCCGAGCGACGATAGCGTAGCCGTGTCCAAACATGAGTGGTAAAACTTACCAAGCTTGGTCGTATTGTCAGTGATAAACTTCTCCACTAGGGCTACGTTTTGCTCGGAGATCTCGTAGAACGACGTATCGATTTGGGATTCGTCGGGGGGTATCACAGCATCCTTGTGCCACGCACCACACGCATATTGGTAAAAGTCGTCGCAGGGGTTGACGGAGTAGTCGATGAGCTTCGTCACAGACTCGGGGAGTTCCGTGACGGAGCCAGCCGTAGCGGCAGCGCCGAACACGCTGAGGGAGATGAGGACTTTGACCATCGTAGAGCGAAAAGGAAAATGAAGTTGGCCAAAAATGTCAACCATTGAAACGAAGACCACGCACGCGTGCAAGTCTGTCAACGCAATCAACCATGACGAATAATAATCCTTTGGAACAGTACCTATCCACTTGCTCAGCAACCAATTGGAAATGTTTTTATGCCATGGTATTTCCTATGCATCATGTCGCATGATGAAATATCGAGTTCCTGATCAAAGGCTTGATGGCTGACTTGAAGTAATGTTATGATAACAAATGTTTTGAGTGGAAAGTAGAAGAATTCACGTTGTTGCTGATTAGGCTAACATTGTCATGACGATTTACGTTGGCCAAAATTATATGCCTCAATCTCGCACTTGTTTGTGCTAGGAAAGGCTTGTAATTGCCTCCTAAGACATCGCGATTATGAAGTACGATCGATTTGTGAACTCGTCGTGTTGGTAGACCACCCCAAGACTCCAGTGATGCAAGGATTGAAAGCTTCGATGAAGTGCGTTGACGTCTCGGTACTAAACCTTTGGAACACTACAGTATCTATAAGTGCAATTGGTTCATCGAACGCATACTTGTGCAAAATGAAAAGAATCACGGAATTGCCTCAAATCAATTCATTTTGAATAGAGGCAGAGCGAATGTGGGGTAAGATGTACTACTTAGAGAGATTAAGTTTGGCAATGCTGTTTAAACACATTGAAGTATTCAACGAACGAATTTTGCTTTGACAAATTTCCATTTGTCCCTCATGCCATTGCACCGTGAAGACGAGGCATTTATGGCCTCGTCATGGTTCGCTACCAAAGGATGGCCAACGAAAAGAAGCGGAAGAAGGTAGAAGCTCAACGACGTACCGCATGAACCGTCAAGATCGAGCTGCAATGGACGCCTTCCGCATCATGCGTTTTCCGTACAGTAGGTGTAGTACCGGAGTTGACTTGTCGTCCCTCCCCTGGGGAATCCGGATAACAAGGGCCGCGTACGAAGACGAGGACCGAACTTCGAAGAAGATCGGTCGAAGCACCGAGGTATGAAGCGTTGAGCGAAGTAAAAACCGAAGATTACACACCGCCCCTGGTGGAGCAGGCGCGTTACAATTGGCGAAGCGGTTCCACAACATGTGGTTCTAGTGTCGGCCCTCGCGGAGGAGTGTCTTAGAAATGATAATCCAAACTCAATTAACCAGTAGTGACTTGTGTATTTTGACATTACTGTAACAGTAAAGTTGAATTTGTCACACAGTTTAGTTGTTATTAGTGTCTCAGTTTATGATCAGTAACTCGACCTTTTACGAAGCAAATGTGTTTTGACTGAAATTCTTGGAACTGATCAAATAGATGGCGGTATTTTTTGCATGCTGCAAATACCAAATTATACACACTATTTTGACGATGTGACATGGTCAAATTGTAAATATTGCTGGTATACAGTAACACAGCCATCTACTGGTTTTGAGACTTAATGTATCCTTGACCAAGGAGTCTGTCTGCATCCACCAACCCATCTCGATGAGACATTGAAGTCGGAATGTGGAAGGGAATACTCGTAGACCCATGCACTTGTTGTGATTGGCCTTCGTTAGGAATTAGTTCCAGTCGTATGGTGCCTGCCCTCCATCTATAAACTACTTCTAAGTACCCATTGACCAATTCCAACTGTCACGTTTTATATGGAGTACTTACTCGAAGTACCTACCTACTAGCTCCGGACGGAAATAGAAGTGCGATTTCAAAATCGTTGAAGGACGGAAATAGAAGTGCCATATGATTGACCATGAAAATAGAATAACCTTAAATCATGGTCACTCCAAGCTATAAAGAACAAGTCAATATAATAAAGCCGAAATTTTTATTTAATTATTCACGGTTGTATAGTGAAACTCATATATAATTGACTAATGATAATCCAAAACTCAATTTATCATACACTGTAGAATTAATTGACTCTTCCATTCAAGACCAAGTCTCTATATCTGAATCTAACGACATCACCAACAAATTTACAACCACAAAATTTAATATACTGTGCAAATCATTCAAACTTGGTCGTTCTAAACCGGGAGGGAAATCAGTACTCCTATGATACAGTTTATTCACCCGTAGCTCAGTCACGAAGCATTTGGTCAGTCTGCTTCTAGCGTTAGTAGTATTAATAGTCATTTGAGCGATAAATATCGATTTATTTAATGACGATTCACTCACTTTGTCATCATGTAGCCAAACTACTGTATCCATACACAGAATAATTCCCCGGCTTCCCCGGATTATTTCCGCAAGGATTTATCCGTCCCTCCCCTGGGGAATCCGGATAACAAGGGCTGCGTACGAAGACGAGGACCGAACTTCGAAGAAGATCGGTCGAAGCACGAGGTATAAAGCGTTGAGCGAAGTAAAAACCGAAGATTTCACAACGCCCCTGGTCCAGCAGGCGCGTTACAATTGCCTAAGCAGTTCCATAACATGTGGTTCTAGTATCGGTTCTCGCAGGGGAATGTCTTAAAAATGATAATCCAAACTCAATTAACCATACGCAGAATAAAAATGCATCACTAATTAAAAACGTAGTATATGACCAAACGTCTATTACTGTAGTATTAATACTACAGTAGTATTAATACTACTCTAGTCCACATGCCAACTTCAAGAGGATGGACTTGTAGGCCGGAGTACTGCACCCTATTACGAGTACTACGGTAGAACAGTAGTATCAATATGATTGAATTTTTCTGATAACGAAATTTGAAGGACAGTTGGAATTGGCCAATGGGTAGTTTATAGATGCAGGGGGCACCATACGACTGGAGCTTCTGCTTAAGTACTACGTAGTACTAAGTAATTCCTGACAAAGGGGAGTTCTCTATTCCACATGTCAACTTCAATGTCTCATCGAGAGTGGATTGATGGATGCACATTGGTCAATGGTATTCTCGGTTGGTTGCGTTGAACCACTTGCACGCGTGGTCTTCGCTTCAATGGTTGACATTTTTGGCCAACTTCATTTTCCTTTTCACTCTACGATGGTCAAAGTCCTCATCTCCCTCAGCGTGTTGGCCGCTGTCGCTACGGCTGGATCCGTCACAGAACTCCCCGAGTCTGTGACCAAGCTCATCGACTACTCCATCAACCCCTGCGACGACTTCTACCAGTATGCGTGTGGCGCGTGGTACAAGGATGCTGTGATACCCCCGGGTGAATCCTTAATCGATACGTCGTTCCATAAGATAGGCATCCAAAACGACGCCGTATTGACGAAGATTTTCTCTGACAACAAGACCAAGCTTGGTAAGTTTGGTGAGTTTTACAACTCCTGTTTGGATACGGCTACCCTATCGTCGCTCGGCCTGACTCCGCTGGAGGACTCGTTCAAAGCCATTCGGTCGGCCAGCACCAAGTTGGACCTCCTTATCGTGGCTGCCAAATTGGCCAAGAATGGCATCCCGGCCTTCGTGGACATTAAGTCCAAAGCTGACGACAACGACTTGACCAAGAACGCCCTCTTCGGTTACCGAACACCCCTGCTGCTGCCTCACTTACCTTACTACACCTCCCAGTGGAAGTACGTCGAACCCCTGTACGAGGTGTACATTGCGTCGGTGTTGCAGCTAGCTGGCTACACTGCTGAGGAAGTGGCCGCTGCCGTGCCGGTGATCACGCGTTTCGAGCACACTCAGGCCAATGTTGACCTTATCGAGCTCGAGGAGATAGAGGCCGTTGTGTCTCCGTATACTGCGTTTACGTACTACCAACTGGACCAGAAGTACCCGCTGCTCGTCGGCTCGTGGCTCAAGGCCAACGGCTTTAACGTCCGCGACGAGTACGGTGGGTCGAACGACTGGGTGGGGTTTAAGGACTTGACGTACTTTGACAAGACCGAAGAGTTATTGAAGAACACGACGCTGGACAACCTCCGCATCATCGTGGAGTACAAGCTCATCCATGACTCGTCGAACTACTTGACCCCTGAATTCCGCACGGCCAACTGGAACTTCTTCGACAAGAACTTCCATAGCGAAGACGTGGAACCTTCTCGTGAAAAGTTCTGCTTGTCTGAGACGCGCAAGACCTTGGGTGAGTTCGTGGGCCAGTACTACTTAGACGAGGTGTGGTCGGCTGATACGGCCAAGACGGCCGACGAACTGGTCAAGGCCTTGAGGTCGTCCTTCTCCACTAGCATTGCCACCGCCGACTGGTTGGACAACTCGACCCGCGCCAACGCGCAAACGAAGCTGTCCAAGCTTGTACACTTGTTGGGTGGCCCGGAGAAGCCGCAGCTGTACCCCACGCTGACGTTTGACTCGAAGTCGTATTTGAACAACCGGTGGAAGGTGTCTCAAGTGAACGTCGACACCAACTTAAAACTGAACGGTCAACCTGTGGACAGGCACAAGTTCGACAAGCCCCCCCATAAGGCGACCGCATACTTCATCGACGAAGAGAACAAAATTATGCTCCCGGCCGGCATTTTGCAAAAACCATTTTTTGACGCCCAGTTTGACGCCGCCCAGAACTTTGGTGCCATCGGGATGGTCATCGGACACGAAATTACCCACGGGTTCGACAACGATGGCCGCAGATACGATGGCGATGGCAACTTGAAACAGTGGTGGTCGAACGCCACCAGAACTGCGTTCGAGAAGAAAGCCCAGTGCATTAGGGACCAGTACGACAACTTTGTCGTCAAGAGCGATGTGACTAGTGCTGTGTTGGGCAACGTCAGCGGCAAGATCTCTTTGGATGAAAACATTGCGGACAACGGGGGGCTCAAGACCAGTTTCCGCGCGTACCACGAATACTTGAAGGAGTTCCCGTCCCAGTACACAGTAGAAGCAGGCGACAAGTTGTTCTACTTGTCGTACGCCCAATCCTGGTGCACCAAGAACACGGATGCGTCCGTCAGCCTGAGTTTGAGCAGGGAGCACCCGCTCGGTCGGTACCGCGTGACAGGAGCGTTACAAAACAACGCCGAGTTTGCCCGAGTGTTCCAGTGCCCCATCGACTCGAACTTGAACCCGTCCAAGAAGTGCTTGTTGTGGGAATAGGGTTGATTGATACGAAAATATGTGTAGCGTTCTGCATTTGTACCGGTAAGAATAAACTAAGAAAACGTTGTCTTGGGTAGAAGTGTGTTACTTTCACGTGCGGCGCACACCAAAACTAATAATGTATAGTATGTGAGATCACCCTTGGATTCGCCTAGTTAGTCGTTGGGTCATGAACTTGAGATAAAGTCAACTACTCGACGGGTTTGGTGCGCGCATGACATCGTGTCTCGAAGGTTGGGATTGATATGTATAGGTCCTGTTCGGCACCAGTTCCAGTCGCCCTGTGGGGCTGTCAAAACTGTAAATTTTCCGGATCCAATCTACTCTTCTCATTAAAGTAGATTTTTAAGCTCGCGTTTGTAAGGGTCAAAAAGTGTATTTGCGTTTAGCTATGGTGAAATGTCGTTTTTAAGATGAAATCTGATTTGCTTGACGGTGATCGCTCGACAAATGACCAGATTGCCATATTTACACTTTTCAAATGCCCTTGGACATTTTGGATCAGAAATCGCCGAATTTACAATGAGTTAATGATTCAGAAATGACGACCAAAGAGTCAAGGTTGTCATGTATGAAAGGGAAGGGATAGTAGACAACGTTTCAACAAACGGCGACGAGGTTGTGGAAGTGACACAGTCGTGGTGTTGTTTCCGGGTCTGACAAGAGCATTGCCAACACGATGGACACTTCCTACATGAAGATGCCGACGCGCAAAGGATTCGCACGCATGCTTGCCCGTGCCAAGAACCAGTGAGTTTAAACTTCACTAGCCGAGAATAGCATGATGTGGCGAACGATAGTCCGCCCGTCAGGTGGTACGTCAACTCGTCGAGAGCGGGCTTGACTTCAAACTCAGACATGCGAGAGAATGTTAAGTCGTCTAGACGAAGCGTTGCTCAGCCCCGAAGTTGAACTCTCCAGTTCGCTTCTTGCCATCGACGACTTTCATGTGTACAATTCCCTCATTAAAACAGTTCCACTGTTGTTTTGACCCGAAATACTGTTTCAATGAGATTTATAAGGAACTTTGTATGCTTAGACCACCTCACCTCTTATTAGGGGTTAATTGCATCTCAGTGGTTAGCGATGCAGTGAGATTTAGCATCGTATATACTCACCGGGGGTAGGACGGAGTCCCATGTTACAGGGCTACTGGAGAAAAGGTTGTGACAGAGCTGGAGCGTGGGCTTGTACTACTATACCACATCGTGGAACTGCCACCACAAAAGTATACTATTCGATGGACCAACGACCTTCGAATTCGGCCGTCTTGCTTCTATTCTTTACGACCTTTCCCCAAAGGTCGTCAGCCATAGCTAGCTTTTCGATAGTTCACTTTAACATTTGCCTAACATCGGATCTACTCCTTTCTTGTTGTGTTCTTCTTGGGCAAGCCGAGAGTATCCGGTCCTGAAGTCCGAACCTCCGGACCTTCGTAAATTTCGTGCGTCTAACCCTTACGAACGTCACAAAAATGGTGGAGAAGCAGGATATCTCTCCTGCCAAACCAAGAAATCCAGCACACCTGGATGAGCGAAGGCCTCTTGATCCACCTCCCGTCCAAGGAATCGCAGACGACACGGATATCGCCTCTGCCGTCTCAGTCCCCACCGATACGACACTTGACCTCGTGAGCGTAGCTGAAGACGAAGTACTCCTTAGCAGCAGCTCTGATGAAGCCTGAAAACGTCAGCCTTAACCTGCTCATGACACCCCTGTCCAGAAACAGTTGAAGTGAGACATCAACTACCGAATCCAACACCACTCCATCTAGCCCGCGCAGCAAGACTTGGAGAAACGAAGCAAAGGGCCAAAGTCTCAGACGAGGCCGCTGATACGAAAGTGATCTATCTATTGAGCCCCGAAGTTCGTGTCAAGAGCTTGTATACACAGACGATATGGCTGAAGCTAGCTCCGACGAAAAAACGTCAGACGAGTCCATGTTGACCGAGGGTAACGACGACGAGACGCTGACCCAGTCTCTTGTCCCGCTCCGATTGCGCGCTTGGACTCTAACGATTCGTACTCCTCGTCAAGTCCTACGCCTGAGGAGTTACCGCTACTGACCTATTGCGTGAAGTCGGCGACCAAAACAATTTTATCATTTGGCTCAAGTGTACCCACACCCATGGTGTACCAGTCTTGACAGAATCTACGCATGTAGTGACGACTCGCACCGTCCAGCTTAACGCTGAAGTCCATTTTTGTGACGGGTCACAAAAATCTAGCGAAGGTCTAGCTAGCGACCTCTGGGGAAGGACGGTCGAATTTGAAGATAATCACACCTATCGAACAAATATACCCAGTTGATTGTGGCGAGACAAGCTTCTCCTGAAAACTACGAAACCATTTTAGTACTGGACCAGCCGAGATCGCGCTTTGACTCTTCTTCGCCGACTTGTCTGGCCCTGCCGGCTTCCGACTTCGTTCACGAGACTGCCGTCTACAATGCTGCCTTACCATTTGGATTGTCCCCAGTCGCTCACGTCGATCCGAGATCTCGATCTCCCTCCCAACTGATAGACCACGTCTTCTCTGCTCGCCCAGACGAATCCACGGGTGCCGAGGCCATCACGGACCATGTCGAGTCCAGTCCGCTTCTCGACATGGCGCTCATTCATCAACCCAATCGTGGAACGTCATCAGCACTTGACGGTATTTGAACCGGACCTACGTTGGCCCAAAAGGAGTCGGTCGTCTGGTCGGCACCTTTGATGTGGCTGCAACGTGCAAACCACCGTTGGAGATGCTCCAACGTACCTTGACCTCGATTTTTAGCTTGATTATAAACTATGTGACATGTTTTAGGCATCGGCAGACAATTGTCTGCAGACTAGTGTCGTGGGGCTGGGATGCTTAATATTATTAATAATAGCGTATTAATAAATCCTACCATTACAATATATCAGAGTACCAGACGGGCTATATTATAGCATAAATCCTTTACAAGTATAATATTTCAGGTTACCAAACAGGCCCTAACTATGCCCGCTCCAGAAACAACGAATTTGCGGAAATGTTGTAATGCCCGACGCCGACAGGCAACAACGAAGATGCTTCAGCGGCATCTGACGAGTTCAAACGCTCCGATCCCAGTGACATATATGCCTCTAGTTAACGTTATTATATATTCGCAGTCTCCTCTGCGTTGGGGTAGAGATTTCGGACGATGTACGTTGTTTTTGATTTCGACGATTCTGCACATACATAATACTTTACAGCTGCGGTGGAGATGCTCTAAGAGCATCTCCACCGCATCCCAACTCGCCATCCCTAAAGATCATTACTACAGTTGTACCTCATAGTTACGGATACTACGCAGAATTTGGGTACTTATCAGGGTGATTTTGTCCCCATTTGCCTCGGATATCCCAAAAAGTGCAAATTATTGGGATATCGGAGGCAAATGAAGACAGAATCACCCGGATAATCCCCAAAATATCCGTACTGCAACATTAAGTAACGGTACAATCGAAGTCCTGGGTTATGGGAAAAATATTTGGGGATGCGGTGGAGATGCTTACAGACTGTTAATCAAGTACAAAATGAAACCGTCAAAATGGGTCATAATAATCCATTCATACTTAAATCAAGTTCAACATAACTGTCAAAATGTGTCAAATAATTCTATGCACTATTTATGAGCATAGTTTACAGCTAGTAATCACAGTTGTAATTAATCAAACAGGCCGCTGCGCTAGTGTGTTGGCAGGAATTAGGAATGGCGCCTCGCGCATGAAATATCACTTGAGTACCTCGAACTAATCCAACTGTGAACGCAAGAACGTGCCCCACGTAGAGCATTGAAACCTCGGAATCCCGACGCCCTGGAACCTACATTAGTTAAGTGTAGTTTTCATTTTCCGGAGTTTGGCGCATCGCCGATGGTTCGCTAACGCTAAACCCCGGCAATGCGCTGAACCCTCCCGATAATCAGAAGCAAGCTTACCTCCACTACGCTGCGAATGGCCGCGCACCCCCACGCAGATACAGAGAACGCTCAAGGCGCGGCGAACTCCTCATTGTGGCCCTCAATGAGAATTCGCAACTGGTGCGAATCGATTTCATGTAACATCCCGTTAACCGATAATTCACATATTTGAATTGTCCCTCAAAGACATATTTTGACTATTCAGTTTTTGACCGAATATATGATCTTGATAAAAGATGATGGATTATATTGAACTCAATTTTCATCTTGATTAAATTATGCAAGATTATCCTGACGGCGATTTTATCTTGATTAAATTATGTGACATTTTTTAGGTTTCGGACGGAATATTTTCTCGTGGGGCTGGTATTGATATAGCTTACTAGCGTAAATCCTACCAGTATATTAACGTAGTTGGTCAGTTTATGGTGCACGGTACAGTTTAAGGTGCACTCATTTGGCCAATGGAATTGATTTTGTTTTGGAATAGCCAATCGAATCACTAGAAAAATGAAATCACAAAAAAAAGCAAAAACAAAAACAGCTAACGTTATTATTAATAGTACTTCATGTACTGTACCAGTAAACGGATGTACGAATTGAAGTGTGGCGCAGTCAACATAACAGTAATCAGAGTACGTACTATTAATAGTAGTACAATGCGACACTAAATTTTCTCGTTTACGGTCGACAGTAAATGTAAGTATTAAATTTCTCGGATAACATTTATCCGATATTGTACCGGGTACAACAAATGCTTATGCCGGAAAACCGAAGTTTAATTTTAGCGCCAAATAAGTATACTGTCGCCGCGGTGGAGATGGTCTTATAATGTAATTTCTTTATAGACGAATAGTAACTATATAAATAGATATGTGTATTGTTTGCTCTAGGCATTCCCAGTACTTAAATCAAATCTACATTTCGGCAGATCAATGATTCACTGTTTGGAATGGCCGTATTTACAATTATATTACTTAAATTCCAAACATTTTAATTGCCTTCTAGGTGAATCGAACTAACAGCAAAGGGACTAACTGTAAAGATTATAAAAATGCAGCTGGTTGTAAGGGGGAGTTCAAATTAGTTTTCAGAAATAGCATGAGCCAATCAAAATCGACTTACCTCTTATTTTTTCACGATTTAGACCTCTTTCTCTATTTTTGGTATAGAGAGTTGCGTAAAAAATCGCACAAAACGAGGTAAAAAGGTAGGAAACTGTACTTGGAACCAATTTTTCATTTTGCTAAAAATATCTACTTGGAACAGGCCCTAAATACTGCATGAAATATGCTCCAAACAAACATAATCAAAATTCGGCAAGTCAATGATTGCTTACGTTAGCTTCACTACAGCAGGACTACCTGTACAGTAGTACGAAGTACAACCTCCGTATGGAAATGATTTACTGATTTGGCTTTTTTTCGCTTTTAACAAGTGTACCTCTGCCAAAATAGGTTATTGCCCGGACTATAGGTATACTTCGAAATAGAGAATTTCATTGGGAACCTGATTTTACTCATTAGAAAGCCCTAATTAGAATACCCTTGAAGTTATACACAAAAACTATCAGGAATATATTTAACGTAGATTTCCAATTTAAGAGACATGGGACAATTTAAGGGACATCGGATTCAGCCAATCACCCACCTTGAAATTTGTGTAGAATTACCTCTTTAAATAAATGTTCTTCATGATCCCATGTGTTTTATATAAATCAATTAACTAATTGGCTCTATAAATACATAACCTGTTGAGATTGCATATGTACCTGACAGAATATTATACCCTAACCACAAAAAAAATGCATGGATCAATACTACGATCAAACTTAAAATATGTCCCTTAAACTGTCGCCTACTTTTGATGTGTTTCTGCTTAGAAAATGGGATATTAGGACATGATAGATACTGTGAAAATAGATGTTTCAGTGCTTGTTGGAAAGACCTGCGTTTCCTGTTCAATTATCAGTTTTCAGAAGTCGAAACCCATTCCTCAGTGTCGAGCTGCTACCATTTCCCGACAGCGACTCGAAAATATGTCTCCTAGGGCATCCCCACCAGTGCGACTGTATAATCAGACTGTAAAATACCGTTTTACAGTTCCTGTATTTTGATTTTCGTCAACCCCAGCGGTAAAACATCCGAATAATGTTTTTATCCGGAAGTGACGCACGTTTGTGTGAAGGCATGATGGTGTGGGAGGACGACGATGATGGCATGGATCAAGCTTGGGAGATTCTTGGATTTCATCAGTATTCTGCGCGCCCTAAAGGCTCTACTGCCAACCTCCAGCCAAACCTACCACGAGATAGCGAGACTGCGCAGGCTCGGATTTACCTACTACTTTGGTCCCAATCCAATCTACGGCGAAGCCAAGTTTCGCCGTCGTTTTCGAATGGCCAGACCGCTGTTTGAACGAATCATGGACGGTGTGGTGATACGTGATGAGTACTATCCTTGGACGCATCTTGAGAGATGTTGATCCATGACCGAACAAGCTGGCAGTCTTCGTCGGTCGTGAAGTTGGAGCCACGGACTGATTGTTGACTACAAAACGCACATGATTGGACAAAATCATCCATTGATAGCATGCTATTGGCTAATTCGTCAAAACTGTATTTTACAGTCGCGACTGTAAATCTGGCCGATTTGCCGTCTCGCGGTAAAATTTTACAGTTTCCTGTATTTTACAGTCGCCCGGTGGGGTTGTCAAAACTGTAAATAATCCGGATAGAACTGTATAATAGCGTTTACAGTCGCACCGGTGGGGATGCTCTTAAATTGGAAATCTACGTTATCTGACAAAAACTGCCAGGAATGATGATTGGTTTTCATTGTGTTTCCTCATAATTTTTATATAGCTATATCTGATATGTAGTAGAATTATCCATATATATAGATTTAGGACAAAATAGGTCATACAGTAAAAATTTCAGTACACCGTTGACCGTAATTAGTAAAGATTGAGAATTAGTGTGGATTCAGAATTAGTGCGGTTCTCACTAATACATGTGTGATGGAATTCGAGAATTTGTGGTTGGTGATTACTGTAGTGCAGACCAATTTCGTGAAATGTTGGGTGTTTGGGGTGTATGCCACGATGCCCAATTGTTCTGGTAGTCATAGAAAGCCATCAAATGTAGTGTAACATTAGCAACCTACACTTATGACTGTTTACATCAAAGCTGATTTGTGATGCGACTTATCATGACAAATCCCTCATACAAAATCAAGATATGAATCCTTACTAATGCTCAATATTCAAAGTTGGTGCGGTCCGCATAAATAGATGTGCCGTAGGTCTGGTGACGAGGTCGAAAATTAGTCCAGTCGGTACTATTACTGTCAACGGTGTACCTTTATAAACAGATAAAAATTGTACGTAAGTGGTAAATCTAACAAACATTTCAGTGCGGAGCTTGTTACTGCACTACATTGTAGTAATACCGTTAACATTAGAAGAAGTAAACGATGAACACACGAGGAGACAGCGCCCAAAGCGTAAGCGGTATACAATTTAAAGCGTAATCGAAAATTGTGTTATGTCATGGAACAGGCGGTGCTACGTAGTACTAACCATCGACTGTGTCTCGGAATTAACTGACTTTCTTACCAAACTCTCTCTGTCCATATTGTCAAATTGATTCGAAACTGGAGCCCTCAGCAGAATCAAATGTCTTAGGAGAATGGATTAAAGAACCGCCAAAGCCAATCAAATCACATTCTGGTACATTGCCCTCCATACTGTAGTATACTACGTAGTATATACTAAGTTTTGTGTAGTATAGCTTGTACACGCTTAAATTGGATCAAATGGATTCGAATGCAATTGGCGAAATGACTTAAGTCCAAATTTGGGTGAAATGCGCAATTTCCTATACTATACGTGTAGGATGCACTATGTATGTACTGCACGTCGCTCGCCCGAGTTGAAATCTATCGGATAATATTATTGTGCTTTTACCCCGAATTTGACCTTTTGTGCTGATTTGCCAAATCTATCCATCAATTCGTTGTAACTTGGTGACTTTTGTAAGAAAAAATCGTCCATTGTCACACTAGTTTCATCCACACACTATTTCGATGTGGAATACGTGGATAAGTTGATTGGCTACTTGATTCGTGATCTGAGTTTTGATTGGTCGATCTTTGATTGTGTGCCGATTTGGTTCGAGCACCCGTCTCCAATTTCGAATTTAACTTGTTGTATCGACTTGAAAAGTTCGCTAATCAGATTTCATTTTAAAAACGACGTCATGTGAAAAAGACACTTTTCAACCGAGCTTAAAAAGAAGACTAGTTTGGATTAATAATTATTATTGGACAAGTTGGTTTCGTTTGAAATTGGTGCATTTTTTTGGTTGTCACATATATATATATGGTGTCGACAATTATTCCTCACCAATGAACACACTGACTAAAGCAGCAACGGGTTGGCGCCCGTGCTGTCGTCTTCCTTTTGCTCTTCTTCGACGGCTAGCGCTGCGGCCACGGCGGCGGCGGCGGCCGTTTCTTCGTTTTGGACTTCTTCCGGGGTTGGATGCAGTGGCGCTGCCACGTCATCATGGCTGTCCTCGTTGGGCGATTGGTCGACAGGTTTAAGCTGCTGGGTCTGGGCGAATCGGAGCGCCGCTTCTCGGAGCTCCATGTCCTTCTGCATCACTTCCTGGTACTGTTCCCACAGCGTCGAGATCAAGATCGTGCCGCTGTTGATGGCATTCGTGAGCGCTTTGATTTCGCCCGCCAAGATCTTGTTTTGCTTGGTGTTGGCTACTACCGTCGCTTCCGACAACCCTGTCACACATATAACAAAGATATACAAGGAAGGTCAACTCGTACGTATGATAGATGGATGGTTTTGCCTACCGGAAGACGACGACGGCCGACCAACGGGGGGGCGCACGGAATCGACGGAAGAACCGGAAACCGACGTCTTCTTCAAGGAAGAGGTCGCCGCCGTCTTGGAAGATGGTGGCACTGCTTCCTTCTTTGCCGGCACGGACTTAGCTGATTTCGTGTCCACCTTCGACTTGGTGGACAAGGGGACGGCGGGAACACTTGCCTTTTTGGTGACGGCGACTGCTTTCTTGGCAGGGATGTCCTTCTTGGCGGGTTTGGACGATCGAGGTTCTTTTGTCACCTGGAATGGACTCGTACGGGCCGACACGCGCTGGCGCTTGGTCGCAGGGGCATCCACCACTTCGATGCCATCTTCGTCGTCATCTTGTGCGTCGTCGTCGCTCTCGTGCTTGGACGACTTGGCAGATCGTTTTTGGTTCTTCGGGGCAGGTCGGGCATCCTCGTCCTCGTCGCTGCCGTCGTCGTCATCGTCGTCGCTGTCATGCTTGGACGACTTGGAAGATTGTTTCTTCGCCGCCGGTCGGGTACGTTCCTCGCCATCGCTTCCATCCTCGTCTTGGTCATCGTCTTCATCGGACGCCAAGTCAATGGTTTCCTTGCGCTGCCGATCGTTGGAGGCTTCGACAGATGACTGCACGAGGTAGAAGTTGGTCGGGACGCGCGAGCGCTTGTTGCGAGTCGATGTGCCGGTGGTGACCTTCTTGGCCTTTGCCTTGGCAGGAGACTTCTTGTCATCCTTCTTCGGGGTTCCCTTGGCAGATGAAGGAGACTTGATGCCCTTAGCCGCTTTCTTCGGTGCCGACACGTCTTCCACGGTGTCGCCCAGGTCAAAGTTGTGCTTCATGCTGCTTTATCGTGGGGAGAGCAAACGTACGCAAATGAGGCAGAACCCCGCCAGACACTGGAGAAACGTTCTGATTGGCGGAATGTTTCGCGCGGAGAAATCGACCAATCCACGGCGAGGATTTCTGGCTCAGTGCAATTGCGTTAAACGAAAAAGCAAATAACGTACACGTTTAAACAAACTCGAACCAAATTCAAATTCCAAACATCGCGCCAAATGCAATTGAGTACTTCGAAGTACAAAAGAACCAACCCCGATAAGATGGAGAGTAGTTTGTTACACGACCTAAATATGGTGGGTAGTGGGCGGTTGTCATGTTGGCCGTACCTTGACAGTCGAGACTACGCTTAGTAGTATAGTATAGTCTCATACAAGTACTAACAACTACACTCCACTTGATGGAATCCACCTTTTCGCGTGTAACGTTAGTTCGAATCGAAGGTCGTCACTTCGTGGTAGTAGCGAGCAGTTCAAATATTGGCATAAACGAAATGAGTGAAAGTATTAATAGTGTTGCATAGTGTTTGATCTAGTTATTAATAGCTAGCTACTTGTAGTTAAATTTGTATATTTTCAATGTATTTACCATTACAAGTAGTAGTTAACTAGTGATTTTGTACGTTTCTGTGTACTAGTATTCGAATGATGCATAGAACTTTACAACGAACATATTAGACGCTACAAACTGCGGAGCGACTGGTGGCGTTAACGTTGTACTATCTCCATCTACTCCGTAGAACCAGCAACCTTGTAGCTTTAGTTTTGCCAAAAGGAAAGGGAAAACAATGCATGTACATACAGTATGTACTCGGATACGATAAAGCTCGACCTAACTATATTGACTGTGAAGTCCTTTTATTTCGTTTTGCGCCTTGGCAGCAGAAACGCAAATGCAACACTGAAAAATGACTTTTCACTTTATATGGCAATGCGCCGGAAGGGGTAATTATTATGTGAATTGATAAACCGGAAGGGATAATTATTATGTGAATGGATAAACAAGAAGGATGTTATCGCGAACAGTGTTGCTGCAGAAATATTGACCATAGATCGTAGGCCCACTTCGGCAAGTTTACTTGTTTCCGCGAAAACTCATTGATACACATAGGGTTAGGTACACTATTGTCGTACGACGTAGTATAAGTTTATACAATAAAACCATGTGATTAAATAAAAAACCTATTGACTTTAAGAGTATTCAGCGTACTCATATGGCGAAGGCCCTTGCGTTTGCACATTGATGACGTGGCCCGATATAGATACCGTATGGGGAAATCAAGCGACTGGGTTTTACTCACCAGTAAGCTGACTTTGGTTTGGTTTCGGAACAGATAGATGGCTTGAAATAGATCATTATTCCTCGATGAAACGCAATTTCGTAATCCTGAACTTTGGAGGTACCAACCGACCTATTTTTGAAGCAAGGTCTGCCTTTAGCGGTTTTCGGGGTTTCACAGATCCTTGTCCAGAGCGATTTTGGCAATACATGATGGAAACGACTTTGACTATCGGAATTTCAGAATAAAAACTAAAACATCTCCCACAAGAGGCCAGGCTCTTGAGTCATTACGAAGCGACAACTCGTTTATTTGATCTCCATATTTTGTGTACAATTATGTACGCTATTGTTATGTATGTATGTGATCACACCATGTTTTCTTAAGTTGGAGCCTGTTCGAGCAAAATATAGATTGCAGCAGGAGACTGATTGAAGGATTCAGTGGATACCGGTAAATACCGGGAGACAAGAGCACCCCGCACACATCTTGGATGATTTCCAACCAAGCAATGTGGACGTGAGTTCATTTGTGTCGTGGGTCAACCATGAAATAATCGGATTCCGGGTGATTATTTCGTGCAATAGGGTAAATGTGATCAAAGCACAAGTGAAAGCAGAGCTAACGCTGTCTCGTAAGCCGACTCAACAAATGTCCAGCTGAAGATAGCGAAGCTTACGCTACATTTGATATGAAAAATAATGTCGCAATTTAAGCAGGAACATTCATGATTAATTTATCCATGACTTTCGCGTCGTGACAGCGAATGTTATCAAAGATGAGCCTGTCAAGATGGGAATTTTCGCTCGCCCCTTAGTCACGGCTTTTCGTCGCCCTCCACAGCTTCAGAACCTTTTCCCCTCCATCAGTCCATGATCATACACTCTGAGAGTTCCCCCTCACCGAAGCCGTGACGTGACGCGTTCCGCGTCATCCCGTCGTCAGTATTCTCTCATCACGGTCAACTCAGTGACATGATATTTTCTGTCTAAGCTCAGTGATCACGGCCGATCATTACGGAAATGACCTTTGGTTCTCGCCAATCAGTGTTCAACTCTTGCACGGTTTGTGCCTGTAGAACTAGCTTGTTCTCCATAATTTCATTTTTGGTTTTCCCATCATGTGCTCGAGTGATCTGTCCTACGGCGGATACTTTGGGCCCTTGTGCTACCTTTCCTACCGCCGCACTTCCTCTGATCACTCCCAACACTGCCAACTCGCGCCATGACACAGGTGGTCCTCAACCGAGGCCACCGGGTGCCGACCCTTGGCGAACCGACACGAAAAGACATAGTATTACTAGGACGTAGAAAACAGAACACCTGTCCCAGCCAACTGCCAGAATCTCACTCTTGGTTCTGCAACGTCGTGCTAACGTCAAGTCAATCAAGTGTGTGGTTTGCAGGGAGTCGGCACTCCCCCATTTGGTTGTTTGTGTTGGCACTGGCGTGGGAAACAACACAAAGACATATGAGGACAAGCTACGGGCGAATGCGCAACGCATGGGTGGCGAGTGGCGTCAGCGTGCAGTGGGGTGGATCCATTCCACTGACCGAAGCCTCCTGAAGGCTACATGCACCTATGTTTGGCGAGCGCCTGTGGAACAACTAGGATGACTACCGTGACCGCATCATGGAAATCGTCGGACAACCAGCGACCAAGTGGACACCCACCAAGTCAGACATGCAAAACTACTGTCGGACGTTGAGTGTCGACCCTCATGGAGACGTGACCAGTCGCCTGGTGTCATTTATGGAGCGGGTTGATGACGGCATCGACGAAAATGGCTTACGTCAACAACTCAAGGACTCAACTATGCTGAGAACGTTCGTCAAGGTGGTAGCAGCGCGTGTCACATCCAGCTACCTACTCGACAGAGTCGAAGAGCAAATGAAGACCGTGCCAGCGAACGATCTGGTGGCCTTTGCAGATATCCTACGCGAACAGCTAGACCGAACGCATGATGCGGACATGGTCAATCAACAAAGAAACAGCTATGGTTCGAAGCGTGGCCGTGAAGAAGACGACCAAGGGCGCCGCATTACGAAACATGCGAAGAAGGCCAACCAAGCTGTTCGAGATCGGCGGGAATTACGAGGAAATTACCCACGTCCACCAGGTGGATATATCAAGCCGGAAAGAAGTGCAGTGGTGTGGTCCCCGTTGACACAAAAGCGAACGGGGGACCCACCAGCCACGAAGTACGGACCGCAAGCGAACTCGCGCCCAAGACATGATGATCGCCATGTCCAAGCTGTGCGTGATGAAGCACGCCCTCGATTTGCACCCGGCCGGGATGACCGCGACCTGCTGTGCTTTGTCTGCCAGCAGCCAGGACATATGGCCCGGGAATGTCCCAACAAAAAAGACGGGGATAGCGGCGATACAAGCTGGAAGAAGGGCAAGAACGCCGTCAAGCGGTTCAAGGCGCGGGAACGCAAAGCGAATATGCAAGCGAAGCGAATGAAGAAACCCCCACCGCCCAGCAATGAGGATGATGGACGTTGGGTGCGGCTGAACAGTGTGCTGGAAGTTCCATACTGCCCGGACACCGGCGCAGACCAAAATATTGTGCCCCAAGCCATGGTGGATGAACTTCAAGC